CGTCCCCAGCAGGATGGTGGTCTGCTGCCCCGGGGGGGCTGGCGTCTCCTGGGTATACTACCTTCGCGGCCTTCCCGCTGCCAAGGGACCGGTGTCCCCCTTGAGCCCTAGCTAAGCTGCTTCTGACAGCGGGCGCTCGGTAGTTCACTGAGGGTCCATTAACCCTGCGGCGCTCGGTGCGCAATAAACCAAGCGCGCTCCTTCGGAGCAGTGGGTACTTTGGAGGCAGCCTCTGCGTCGCCTGGGGGCGCCCTGGAGCACGGCGGTGCCGGAGGGTGCAGGGGCCGTGGCCGCCAGCGTGGTGCGGGAAGTGAGGGACGGCGGGGAGCGGGAACCGGGGAGCGGGCGGTGCCGCTCCGGAAGACCCCAGCGCACCGGTGCCGAGGGGATGGAGGACGGAGCGGCACCGCAGGGAGGGACTGGGAGCCCAGCGGGGCCGCCTGCGGATCGCGGGGAGGCAGGAACCGGCCTGTAGTGCTTGGGTGGATCCCGCCGTGCACCGCGGAGCTGCCCGCGGTACGGAACCGGGTCGGACAGGCTCCCCGGGTGATGGGGGCACCCAGGGGAGCGCGGGGCTGCAGGCCCGGAGCCCCAGCAAGGGCTCGGGTTACGGTGGCTGTGTCAGGGTCAGTGCCCCCCGAGCTGCTCTGTGTCTCCCATCCCCATACATCTGTCCCTGAAGTTTATTTTCGAGCCTGTCAGCTGCTGGGCGCTAGCGGGTCAGGGTATGTGTTCGGCACCGGAGCTGTGCCTGCGAGCCCCGCGCTGATGGCTTTAGCAGAGCGGCTTACAGCTCCCGCGACGCTCCTGGGGGTGGCCGGCTCCGGGTTAGACCTGACCGGGGCTGGGGGACACGGGGGTCTCTCCGGGCAGCAGGCAGGAGCTGGCGCTGGGATGGCCATGCCTGTCTCCCATCAGCCTGCTTTGCTTAGAGCAGGTTGAGAACAGAGGTGGTGTCAGCCGTTTGGGGAAGAAAAGTTCATAAACATCTTCTGTAACAACTTTCCTGGATTTTAAAGTGGATGACAGGCCAGTGGCAAACCCCTCTACCGAGTTAGGCACTGGAAGCTTTCGCATCTTCATTGAAGGCTAAGGTAAAGATGCTATTTAGGCTGAGATTTTGGGAAGAGTGGGTCCATGGGATGGGTAGAAGTCAAAGCAAAAAGGGAAAAAGACAGCGTTGCATTGGCCGGGAATCGAACCCGGGCCTCCCGCGTGGCAGGCGAGAATTCTACCACTGAACCACCAATGCTCCAGCTGTTTGGGGTATTGGTTGCACCTCTGCCTATATGACTACCTGCACCTCTGCCTGCACAGTTGCCCCTGCCTCCAGCGGCTCTGCTGCAAGGGGGCTGGTACTGAAGGGCCATTGGGTGACCCGGGACCTTGAAGCGGTTGCACGGGCTGGAGCAGGGTTACAGGTCTCTTCATTTAAGGGCAGTTGATGAGTTAAATATCCCTGGGTTCCGAGCTGTGACTTCCTGGAGAGGAACAGGTATGGCTTATGGAAACCTTGTGTGCTTGGAATATCAGCTGAAGCGGTGTATGAGTGGCTGGGAAGGTCCAAAATCATGGTGCTGGGCATTGGTCTGGTGGGTCATAATACCATACCGGCCAGTTCTCTGCTGCTGTCTTATGCTGTATTGTGGGTACATGACCCTCATAACCCACCATGTTGGAGAGGGTGTTTAAAGACCTGGTGACTTCTCTGCAAGCACACAGCCATGGTGAGTGGCCCTTGAGTCTGTCCTGGGCTGAGAGTCCACGAATGGTGTAAGAGGCTGCAGGCTGGGAGCAACAGGAGGGCAGTGAGCTGCTGTTGGACCTGAGCAGGGAGGAGGAGGGAGCTCTGGTTACACTACTGGGTTCCTTCATCGTTCCCCATTTCAGTACCACTTTCTTTGGCATTTGTTGTGGCCAAAAATTCGTTTCTGACAGCTTACTGAAGATGAGTTGAGGGAAAGAAGAGGAAAGGTGTTTCCCTAAATGCTTTTTTAATTGTATACTTTTTTTTTCCTCTCAATATCTGAGTTGGTAATCCAAAGTTGTCACAATTTGGCAATAAAATGCCCCAAATGGTGACTGCTTTGGCCATGACAAGTACGTTTACTCCAGATGGTAAAAGTGTCCAAGACCTGTCTGGTTGCCCAGCTTGTACATATAGCAGTTCCAGCTCGAGCATAGCCTTCTTTATGATGCTGTACATCTGGGGAAGCGGTTCTTTCCCTCAGTGACACTTGTTTTCACTCTTAATTGCTGCCTAACTGACATGGCCAGTAAGTCACAGATTGTCTCATTTTCAGGTCAGCCCAGGCTGCTTTAGCTTTCTCCATTTGTTAAGCCAATTAACGGCCTTCTCTGGGGTCACTAGTATGTTACAAGGATATAAGGTTGTTAAGATTTCCTCTGTGCTTCTTGTTTCTTTCTGTTGCATACCCGAATCCTTTAGAACAGGGCAGATATAGTTCAGAGCTTTAGGCACGCTTTCCTTGCAGCAGCTATTTGTGCTTTTCCTGTTTTTTCCCAGTACATACCAAAGTCATCCAAAGTGTAAAAGCTGGCAAAGCAGTTCAGGTTTCATTTTGTCTGAGTGATAGTTCTGGGCAGGTTTCACCACGCTGCAAGCCTAGCCTCCATTTTCAGAGGATCTCAAAGTGATCTACAGAGATTGATATTAAAATTGATACGATCATCCTACTTAAGGCAGCTGTTCTTTGAGATGCAGAAAACAACCCTAGATCAGCTAGATACAGAGTAGAAAAAGCAAAGTAACATCAGGTCTCTGAAGGGGAAGGGGGGGAGAATCTTCTGCTAGAACTAGGTCAACACTTTCATAGACTCATCCACTTCTGGAAATACTGAAGGTGATTAACTATAATTTATAAGCTTAATTTGAAAATGATTTTCTGTCTCCAAATAGCATGATTTTTGTTTGGAGATCTGAAAGATGTAAGCCCTACACAGTGTGGGAGTTTCAAAAGCAGAAATGTGGAAAGCTAAGTTATATAATAAAATAACAGAGGAAAAGGTATATACGCTGGCTGTGAATTGGGAGTAGTGTGTTTTCTGGGAAGTTTTGTGCTGCCTCTTAAAAAGTACAGGAGAAGAAACAGGATGGGATGTCCCTGCCCGAAGCAGGGGGTTTGGAAGTAGATGATCTCAAAGTCCTTTCCAACCCAAACCATTCTAGGATTCTATGATTCTATGATTCTATGAACTAATCTAACTCAGTGTGGGACAGAAACCTGGCAGCTATTCCGATTTTCCACTTTGAGACAAGGATTATCATAGGCATTTTCTATTAAAAACTCTTGTTTCAACAAGTCAAACAACTCAAGTATCCACTGTTTATGTAAGAAGGGTGTAGGCATTGTGAACCTCCAAAGGGTGGAACAGAGATTATAAAGTCACCCAGTGGGATCTAGTAATGTCAGTGCAGGACCTAAAACCACAAGATTAAGTAGGATTCACTGTTAGGAATTTTGTAACCGGTACTTGACTCTCCTGGGATTACAGTGTAAAGGAGAATAGCTTTATCCTTCTCCACAGTACCTGATTTTGTCAAGTGTATCAACCTTCGGGAAAAATGCCTTGATGAAAGGTGATCTATGCAAGCAAACAGGATGCTTTATTTGCTTGATGATGCTTCCAGTGGAAATCATCACTATTAATATTAGAAGATGTACTGTGATCCAGAGTGCTCGCTATGTCAAAGATATCATCTCAGAATAAATCTCTGTGGACTAGGCTGGAGTCCCAGGTTAAACCTGTGCACATTAACTTTGCATGTTGACTAATGTTCAACTCTTGGAGGGAGCTGACAGCCCTGTCTGTGAAACACAGAGCACAGTCCAAACAGATGCTAATCCTGTGTGAAAAATGAGGCAAGATTTCTTAGGCTACATCTGTGTTAGTCAATCAAACAGTTCTGGGACAAACTGGCTTTATATTCTTACCTTACATCTGTATTGTGTGCCACAGTGCTGGTGTCTCTATTCCCCACATTTTCTGCATAGGAAGAAAAAGAAAGCCTGTTTCTGCAGCTGACAAGGCATCACCTAAGCCATAGCGTCCACCATGCTTGGTGAGAAAAACTGGAGCTTCCCTCCAATGAATCAGAAACTTGTCCTACAGTTACCAAAAGAGAGAAGAGGTGGCCAGGGACATGGGCCATCACCTCTGCCAGCCATGTTACTCTCTCAGCTCCCAGCAAGCCATCCACTCACTACAGAGGACTGGCCCTTGCTGCTTCCCCAGACCTGGTCTCAAACCATCCTGCTTGCAGTATGGGCAAAGCCCTGTTTTGAGGAACTTCATGAGGTTGGCATTGGCCACCTCTCAAGCACGTCAAGGTGCTTCTGGATGGCATCCCTTCCCTCCAGCGTGTCAACCAAACCACACAGCTTGGTGTCGTCGGCAGACTTGCTGAGGGTGCCTCAATCCCACTGTCCATGTCACCGACGAAGATGTTGACCATGGCTGAGGGCACCTTTACCGGTAGGCCTCAGGACAAAGGAGCTATGTTTATTTGGCTGCTGATAAAAGTAATTGTGTCAGTCAGCAATCCCTCAGGCAGATCTGGGGCAGGAACCTGTTTAAGAGCTGTAGTGGTATCTTGTTTTCTGCAACAGGAGACGCTGCTATTCTGCAGTGCTAGTGCAAAGAATATATTTCACTCCCTGCCCTCCTGACTCTGTTCCTGCCAGCAGCTTCCTTTCTGCCTATTTATCAATCACCTGATGCACTAAACAATCATATCAGGGAGGAAAACAGAAAGTAACCACTGAAGAAATTGTTAGAAGCAACCTATGTTTATTTTCATCTCAGCAGGGTAGCAGGTTTACTCCGTCACAGTGAGTTACACAGCTGTGTAACACTGGCAGCCAAGCTGCAGTTTTCTCCAGGTGCAAACAGCAGCAAGGAGCACAGCTTCTCTCTCTGAGAAGCTTCCTGAGACACTTTCACAGGGAGCAAGCCTTAGCACAACTCTCCAAAGGACACTTCCTCACACAAGGTCCACTGAGGTCACTGAAGAGATTTCTCGCAGATCCACGGGGCAAGGATTTCACAGCTGGAAGCACGAATGGCACCATCCAGCAGAACGCCACAGTTCTGCACGGGGCTGTTGAACAGGACACTGTGGGAGACATGGGCAGAGCACACAAGCGGAAGGACGTTAGAGAGGGATCATCACTTTGGCAGGGGGAAGAACCTCGCACATCTTTGGAAGTAGGAGACTCACTGAAGTTGGACTTCATGACCTTCTGTCAGGAAAGACCCATCCTGGAACATGGGAGGTCTGGCAGTGGGGCTTGCTATGCCCACAGCTCACCCTGAGACTTAAGAGGTAGTCTGTGTCATTTTGGGCTCTCCATTTCCCATCACTAATGAGAGAAAAGTCCCGTCCCATGGGGAAATTCTTGCTGCTCCACTTAAAGCGTTTGGAGACCTTGGGACAGAAAGTAGCAAGTATTCCAGTTTGAATGTGTTGTATGGGCATGTGGAAGATGAAAGCCTCTGTTTCATTACCATTTTCCAATAGAAAACCTTTTCAATGCAAAGGGAAATTAATGCTCAAACAGAAATCCACAGAGACACAAATCTGGTGCAAAAGAGGTAACAGAGGCAACAGCAAAGACTAGAAGTGTTTGGCTACTATTTAATGGGCCATCAAGAAACTCCAGGCACAGCTTTGGAGAGGGACACCCCAGGCTTTATAACTGATAAAAGAGGGGGGAAGAGGAGGATGATTTGGGATGTTCCAGGTGGGCCTGTGCAAAACCTGTCGAGGAACATTTAGGGGAAGGGAAGTGACAGAGGAGGGGACAGGCCATGTGTGAGCAGGGGGACTGTCTGGGTGCAGTTCCAATTCCATGGCAGCTCCAAGCTGCACTAGCCAGGGGTTAGGAGGCCCTGGGAGCCTAGGGAGTGTTGTTTGTGTGTGTTCACTAATGGATTTCAATCCTGAGCAGCCAAAGAGGAGGAAGGGGGCTCATCTGCCTGTGGTTGTGCTTTATGTGAGTCCTATTAGCGCTACATGCTGAAGGCAGTGCCTTGTTTGGTGGCAGTGTGTGTAGCCAGCTGTGTGAGAGTCCTTTGCCTGCACATGTGTCTGTGTTTGTGTCTCTGGGACACATGCTCAGATTTCCTAGTGAGTGACCCTACAAACGGGAATGTAGCAGCTGTGCACATCATCCTGGGATAGAGACTCCCACATCTCTGGTGCACCAGACTGGGCTCCAGCAGCCGGACAGGAAGAACCTGTTAGTTCTGGAGCTGCTGGAGGCAGCAGCCACTCTGAACATAGAAGCTGTATTCATTGCTGATAGACTTCCACAGACTACAGATGGAACATCTCATTTAGAAGTTTAAAGGCATGGGAAGGATCTCAAGCCCTTTACTTTACATAAAAATACAGAGGAAATACCATACTCACTTTTTGCCATTTAGTTTTGAGCCATCTTCCCAGACCCAGTCATAACCAGTGCTATTCTGCAAACCAATCCAGTAGGATTCGGTGTGCATCATCTGGAAGAAGTCCTAGGAGGGACAGAGAAGCAGGGAGATCAGTAGTCTCAGAGAAACCCAGTCAAGTCCTGGACCCTGGGGGGAAACAGTGGGGCGCTGTGTGGAAGAGGGAGGTTTGCAGCTATTTCTCAACATCCTTTGGGCACCCACACCATTCCAGTTCCTTACTGTAGGAACCTACTTTGTGAGAGGCAGCATTTCAGAGTGCCATGCAGCTCCCCCAGCCATGGGTCTGAGGGCTGAGCCCATGACAAGCTCAGCAAAGGCAGGCAGAGAGAAGCAAGGACCTCTTGCAAAGGCCTTTAACTCTTTCCCTTGCTCACAGGGGGGAAGAGCTGGACAGTACAGTGCCTTCGACGTGCTCCCCTGTAATACTGTTATCCTGTATGGCAAAGGCCCTCAGTCCTGGCCACCGCAAAGGCACCCACCATTTCGCTGGTATCACTGATGACCAGGAGATGAGCTCCCTGTGCCCCGCAGGACTGCCGGCTGGAATTCCAGTCCTTCTTCTGCTTGGAGAAGGAGTAGCAGCTCCCTCTGTAGGCGACCCACTGCTCAGGGCAGCTTGGGCATGGATAGCCTGCAAAACAATCATACAGCTCTCGTTCACAGAGCCTGCTCCATTGCAAGCACATTTCTCGCACGCACCCTCCCTAGAAAATGACTGTCCAGCATTATAGTAATGCCATCGCTGGAGCTGTTCTGAGACTGGCAAAGACCATGTCATTAACTGCACACAGCCTCTGGAGGGCTCTGTGAAAATCATCCATTTACCAGATGGGAATAGGGGTGAGGTTATGGAGGGGTCTCTTAGGGCCTTCCTTTTCCTTTCTAGTGTTTTTGCTCTTTTAGTTTCCCCTCCCCTTTTCATTGTCTTCCCCATATAAACTTCATCTTTGGCCCATGTTTCCTTCTGTCCAATGGCAGGATCCCCCACTTCCATACAGCCCCCACCACAAAGCTCTGGCTGCTGCTAGGACCAGGAATCATTTTGTAACAGCTGCTAGTCATGGAGGTCTTACAGTTTGAAACACCCTCCTTTTCCTTCCTGACAGGAGAGCAGCTAGTGCCACTGGCCCATGGGTGGCCACTGAACACCTCAGGGTTCATTCTCTCACTGTACAGCACTGATCTGCAGATACACGTGAAAAAAATGGGCTTTTTGGTTGTGTCCTCTGGTCTAGAGCTGCATTCATCAGGATGTGGTCATGAGTGGTTGAGCACCCAACAAAGTGTGCTTGCTACACACTGAAGTCTACCCAGTTGCCCCTCTCAAAGGCATCTTTGATATTATCTATGCCTTACTTTCTTGATCCTGCTGAGGACAGGTCTAACTGAGCCAAACAATAAAAACCTCAGAAAACAGAATCAAGTCTTTTTTAACAGAGAAATGATACTTCCATGCTCTTCTTGGAGCCCTGAGCAGATATCAAAAGCTCTGTTTTGCTTCCTGACAAAGCTTTAACTTCAAATAAAATATTTTCAATGTCAGGTATTTATTTACCCTTGATAATAAAACCCAGTGCTGTTCCCAGCGACACCAAGATGAGGATCCCTAGAATCACTGCAGTAATATGGCAGCTGGTGCATAAACCAGGAAAATCTAACAGGAAGAAAAAGAGCATAAATATGATAAAGGTGAGGTTTTCTGAATGGGATCAGCTCTAGAAATACAATATATGTGAAACTACAGTGTCTGTTTACTTCACCCTGCACTCATGTCAGAGTGCAATACTATCTGACTAGTTCCTTTCGATACTCCACACATGGATAATTCAATATTTAATATCAGTTTATTTTTGCTAAAGAAATGTGAAGTTGCATGAGGTTCTGATTTAGCAGGGTGATACAGCTATGTGTTGAAAGCAACACATAAGTGCAAATTACATTTAGCAGAATATAGCATTTCGATACACAGCTGAATCACAAGAAAATATGATTCTCTTTGCCAGGCTCTACGATTTGCTCACCATCGCAACGCTGGGTTCCACCAGCAAGGAATATGGGGTTTAAGCAGCTCAAGCCTGTTGCTGTCTTCAAAGCTTTTTTTGTCAGTTGTTCAGTGGTTGTACTCTATGTTAGACTGTCGCGTACACAGACACACCCCCATGCTGGTCTGGCTAACTGAGGAAGACATCCACACTCTTTTAATCAACTCAAATTTACACAAATTTACACCAGCTGATCACTCAAATGGTACAACTGTTGATCTAAAACCAAGGTACCTCTGTGGTACCCTTAATGTTAAGTTCAGCTTTCTTTCTGGCAGCCACGTTCAATACTGCATACTTCATGCTTAAATGGCACTTGTATACTTCCCTTCTCCCATTGTAGGGGCTTATTGATCAGTGACAACTCAGGATTATGTCTGAAGAGAAGTCCAACTACAGTGACTTTTTTGATACAGCATCAACAGAAATTATTAGATCGCACATCACTTAACTCTGTTGGAGCTGCAAGTCTCCAACTTTAACCTGCCTCGAGCTCTCTATCCTTCTCAACTACAAATAGCAGGCTAGAAAAGAAAATCTATTAGCATACAAATGCAAATAATTAATTCATAGAATCCTAGAATGTTTAGGGTTGGAAAGGACCTCAAGATCATCTAGTTCCAACCCCCCCTGCCATGAGTAGGGATGTCTTACACTAGACCATGTTAACCAAGGCTCTGTCCAACGTGGCCTTGAACACAGCCAGGGATGGAGAATTTACCATTTCTTTGGGCAGTCTGTTCCAGTGCCTCACCACTCTCACAGTAAAGAACTTCTTCCTTATATCTAACATGAACTACCCTGTTTCAGTTTAAACCCATCACCCCTTGTCCTATTGCTACAGTCCCTGATGAAGAGTCCCTCTCTGGCATCTGTGTAGGCCCCCTTCAGACATGAAATCTGTTAGACTGTTTACTCAGTAATGCATACATCTTTCCCATTAACAGACTTTACCTTTGTTTGTGATGTTCTCCTCTGTTCTTTGTCTTCTCATCATCTGTTTCTTGGAAGAAGGGCTGTGTTTCACATTCAGATAGATGTGTTCCTCTTTATTCCTGTCATGTGCTTTTAAGTGTTGCTTTTTTTTACTTTGCTTTACTTGGCATTTAGAAGTCCAACTAGGTACAAAGTCCAGGTCTGGATCTGAATTTTCCTGAACGTCAAAAGAGCTTTCCTTCCAGCAGTTCAGAGTCATTTCTAATGATAGCATATATTATTAGTAGCAGAGTAATACATGGAACAAATAACAGAATCATAGAACGGCTAGGGTTGAAAGGGATCTTAAATACAATGTAGTTCAAATCAGCCTTCTGGAGTACAAAGTCATTTAAGCAATGACAGTAGCTCTCAAAGAGCTCTATCATTTATGATTAAACTGCTCCTATGATGAATGCTAGGTAGGCCAGTGTTAGACAGGGGATCTTACTTTCACAGAGAGGTGAAGTTACCTAGCATTCTCCACATCAACTAATATAAGTAAGCAACTTAAGCTTGACCAAAATGACAAAGGCAAGGAATTGTATTTCCTTATGTAGCAAATAGACAGACATGGGTAATTCTAGTGGGACAATTTGCAGCATGGATTTCTCTCTTTCACTGCAAGCACCATCAATAAAAGCAATACAGATGCATTTGACCTATACCAATGACATGTTGATTGAAAAACAAAAATCCTGTGAGAATTTTGACAAGAAAATTGAGGGGATTTACCTTATTTCCACAGGAGGAAGCTGAAATGTGATAGCAGAACAGGTGGTGCATCTGTCCTCATCTCCATATACGACTCTGCAGGATGACAAATTGATTGTTACTGTCAGACTGAAACAGGGCAACCGAGAGATGGGAAATGAGTATCTTGGTGACCCACACAGGAAACTTGTGTCCTTTTATTGCAGCACAGAGCTCTACTTCTTCAGAGTTATAGTGAAAAAAAACGTGTTCCTGCCATGGTTGCACCAAACTCTGTTTGAGCTAATTGCAATGTTACATTCACTGAGCAACAGAATACATTGAACAAGCTGTATCTGTGGACTCCATTATTAAAAGCATAGGCTTGTACTGCCAGTCTTCAAACGGAAAACAAATAATAGTACTTTCAGAACAGAAGAGGATTTCACAATTCAATCATTTTGCTAATTCTGAGGTTTAGTCAAAATCTGGAAACATAATTTTATTAACATTTCATAATCATTTTTACTTTATAGGCTACCAGGAATATATATCTGTTTACTTTTGAAACATAATATTATTTTCCATCCCTTTTCTTCATATCCTTTCCCTTCTTTTTCTTCTTACTCCCTTTATTTTTAAGGACATGAACAAGAACTGGTTGGGGACGAAAGGTTGGGGGAAGGTGTGGCTGCAGTAACCTAAGATGCTGGAGTTCAGGATCCTGAAAAGAAGGGAAACCCTGCAAAAAGCAGAATCACAACCCAGGACTTGAAGAAGGCAAGCTTCGGGCTGCTTAAGAATCTGCTTTCAGGTATCCCATGGCAAACAGTCCTAGAGAGAAGAGGTTCAGGATAGCTGGATAGTTTTCAAGTGTCAGTTCCTTTGAACTCAAGAATGGCCCACCCAATGAGCAGGTTACAAATGGTGACAGTGGGCCCGCATGAATCCCTTAGCTTGCAGGGATGGGGCTAGGAAAGCCAAAGCCTGCCTGGATTGGAATCTGGTGTGCCAGGCCACAAGAAAGGTTTAATTGGGTACATCCGGAAGCAAAAAAATACCTAGCGAAAAACGTGATCCTGCAGTGTAGCTGATCACAAAGACGTAGAAAAGGGTGATACGCTCTGTGACTCAGTGCTTCCTTTGTCTTAGTCTTTGCTAAGGTGACTTGCCTTCAGCAATCTCAGGTCCATGAAAACTATGAGGAAGTCCAGTGCAAAGCAGACTTAACTTTGGTGGAGGAGCTATCATGTTAGGGAGCATTGAAATTAAATGCACATACACAAGTTCATGGGCCCTGATGGGACATACCACGAGTGCTGGGGGAGCTGGCTTCATTGCAAGACCACTCTCAACAACCTTTAAAAGGTCATGGTAATCAGGAAAGGTCCCTGAAGGCGAAGACAGGAGATGACTCCTGTCTTCAAGAAGAAGGATCCAGGGAACTACAGGCCAGTCAGACTGACATCAGCCCCAGGAAAGCTAATAGAGCAACTCATCCTAGAAACCATATCCAGACACACGAAGAATAAGAATCACTGAATCACGGAATGGTTTGGATTGGAAGGGACCTCTGGAGATCATCTAGTCCAATCCCCCTACCAAGGAAGGGCAATCACCTTGTCAGCACAGATTTGCAAAGGGGAAGACATGCCTGACTGACCTCATAACCTTCTACAGTGAGGTGACTCACCCCATGGAGACCTGTGGATGTTATTTTGACATTGTCTCCTGCAACATCCTCACAGACAAGTACTGATGAACTATCGAGCTGGATAAGTAGATAGTGAGACAGACTGAAAACTTGTTATAAGGCTGGGTCCAGAGGGTTGTGACCAGTGTCATGCAGTCCAGCTGCAGGCTAGTGACCAGATGTGCCACAGGGCTCAACACTAGATGCAGTAGTGTGCCGGTGACCTGTGACCTTCACAATAGAGCAGAGTAAGTTCTCTTACCCTCAGTAAGTTCTCAGATGGTACAAAACTGAGAGGAATGACTGATACACCAGGTGGTTGTCCCAGCATTCAGAGAGACCTGGACACGGTTGGAGAAATGACCAGAAAGAAACCTCATGACGTTCAGTAAAGGCAAATGCAAGCTCCTGCACATAGTGAGAAATCAGCACACACCGGGGTCAGGTGTCTGGGAAGCAGCTTTGCAGAAAAGGATCTGGGAATTCCTGGCAAATGACAAATTGAACATGAGGCAGCAACGTGCCCTCACGCCCTCATGGCAAAGGTGGCCAACAGCCTCCTAGGTTGCACTAAGCAGAAAGCTGCCAGTAGGCCAAGGGAAGTGATCCTTCCCCTCTACTCTGCACTGGTCAGGATGTGTATCCAGTTTGGGCTCCCCTGCACAAGAAGCATGTGGATTTACTGGAGCAAGTAGGAAAGAGCCAATAAGATGATTAAGGAACTGAAGCATCTTTTATACAAGGAGAGGCTGTGAGCACTGGGACTGTTTAGCCTGGTGAAGAAAAGGTTCAGGGGGACCTTGTCTTTTCTTTTTTTTTCCCTTATTTTTCCGTTTTTTTTTTAAATGTACAGTGAATGTGGTCAAAAACTGGAACAGGTTTCCCAGAGGTGGTAAAGCCTCTCTCTTTGGTAGATATTCAAAGGCCAACTGGACAATGTCCTTGGTAGCTTGCTGTAGTTAATCATAGAATCGTAGAATAGTTAGTGTTAGAAAGGACCTTAAGATCATCTAGTTCCAGCCCCACTGCCATGGGCAGGGACACCTCACAATAAACCCTATCACCCAAAGCTCCATCCAGCCTGGACTTGAAAACCGCCAGGGATGGTGCATTCACAACCTCCCTGGGCAACCCATTCCAGTACCTCACCACCCTCACAGTAAAGAATTTCTTCCTTATATCCAATCTAAACTTCCCCTGTTTAAGTTTTAACCCTTTACCCCTTCTCCTATCACTATAGTCCCTGACGAAGAGTTCCTCTCCCGCATCCTTTTAGGCCCCCTTCAGATACTGGAAGGCTGCTATGAGGTCTCCACGCAGCCTTCTCTTCTCCAGGCTGAACAACCCCAACTTCCTCAGCCTGTCTTCATACGGGAGGTGCTCCAGTCCCCTGATCATCCTCGTGGCCCTTCTCTGGACTTGTTCCAACAGTTCCATGTCCTTTTTATGTTGAGGACACCAGAACTGCACACAATACTCCAGGTGAGGTCTCACGAGAGCAGAGTAGAGGGGCAGAATAACCTCCTTCGACCTGCTGGTCACGCTCCTTTTGATGCAGCCCGGGATATGGTTGGATTTCTGGGCTGTGAGTGCACACTGATGGCTCATGTTCATGAGTTGACCCTACTTTGAGCAGGGCACTGATGGTCACCAGAGCTGCCTCCCAATCTCCACTATTCTGTGACTCTGTGACAAGTAGTGAAATTTCAGTATGACAGAAGAAGATGGAGGCTGAATGTTACAGCTGATTCCCCTACAAGTGGTTTTGGAGAGGCAGGTAGGCTCTACCCTGCCTTGCAGTACAATAAATCCTTTGCTCCTGGAAGGGACTCCTTGGGCTTAGGAAGTTAAAACAGACTTCAGGTTGCTCTGTCTTGTGCTGTTGATAAGGTCTAAAGGCCTCCACATCCAAAGACCTCCTTCTCCTCCCTCACCCCAGTTTGTGGGGTGTGTGGTTCAAGGAGCTGGCAGCTTCAGGGCCAGCTCTGCAGGAGTGAGCTGCAGGATGCTGCTGACCCATTTTCACAGAAAAGCTTTAGAGTCTGTGGCTTTTGATATTTCAAACTCATCCAGACAGTGCTTGAGCAGCTGTGATGTAAAACATCTCTCCGGGGCAAAACAAGCTAGTACAGTTCTTCCTAGCAATTATACCATGCACCATAACTCACAAGATCAAAATCAGTTGTGCACACAGCAGAAATCACATAAAGGATTAATGCTGATTGGACCAAGGTCTTCAGCATTGTTTTATAAGTCTGTGGTTCCTTGTGGGCAGATCTATGACACAGACATCAGACTTGCCACACTCCCCAGCAAGCTGGATCTAAATTCTGCCCCCGTGCCCCGAGTTCTTTGTTGTGCTGCTGCATCTGACTGCACATTCTAGGGCAGGATGTTCCTCCTTTAAAACACAGATGTCTCAAACGAGTTTCCATACAGAATGCAGGATTAAATGTAATAAAAGGCTCCTTTCTTATAATTCAGTATAAGAAATTAAGCAATTAAACTTATTAAAACATAACATTACAACATTATATGGCAGGGGGGTTGGAACTAGATGATCTTTAAGGTCCCTTTGAACCCAACCATTCTGTGATTCTGTAACAAATCAAACTAAACACTGTCCTCCATCTTGGAGCTGGAGACGTGCAGAAAGTACACATTCCTGAATTCTTTAAACCTAATGTTTAAAAACTTAGGTTACAGAGAGCTCAGCTTGTATCTGGCTCCTCTTTCTTGTCATTAACAATAAACCGCAGTAAATCCACAATTTGAAAAGCTGACACCAGCTCACAGGAAATGGTGCTTTTGAAGACATCAGCTTTGACCAGACAGGAAGCATGGGCTTCACAAAATGCTTTGTTAAATAGCTCATATGCAATGGTTAATCAAAAAGACAGTGAGAAAGCTCTGAGTGCTTCTCTTCCACAACACCATATATATGTCATAGTGCCATTTCTCGTGTGCCTCATCAGATAGGCCTGGTTTGCAGCATGCCCAAACATGCAAAACATCCATCTCTGGTTTGCGTGTTTGTTTACTGTGGGAGTGGAGGGATGGGGATGGTGGTGTTTGCTGCTGTGTTTTGGTTATCTCACACTCAAGACCTCTCATGAAAATGCAGAAGTACAATTAACAACAAATAAACTCATCTGATCAGAACAGCATACACACTTTTCATTGTATACGTTTCCACACTGTACTGTACTGCTCCTGCCTCTTCACCTCATCTTGAAAACGGGTTGTGGTGAAGAGCTGAGAGCTGCCGCGCACCCACGTACATGCAAGACGCTATTGGTATACTAAAGAGAGGAACGGCTGGTCATAAGCTAAATCTGCTACAAATATTTAATCGATTTCATTCTTGTTACAATGATCCCGGTGAAAAGAAATGAAATATTTCTCCAGTGGCAAGAGCTCTGTTGCAGCCTTTCCACATTAAAATATTCATTTCTTACCAACCCAGCCCCATGCGTTGCCAAGTAATGAATTTTGCAGTACTAGTCATGGGAAACTGTTCAAACTATTGCTGCTCACGCTGACACTGAGTTGCTTCTGTAAAGCTATGTGGAAGGTGAGAGCATCCACTTCATTACAGTCACCCACTGAAGTACTCTTGAAATGCAAAAGAGGATAATTGACAGAGACCCAGATCTGCTGCACATAAAAGAGCAGTAGAGATGGCAATGACTGAAAGTCTCCAGCCACTACTTAATGGGCCAACAAGAAGATCCAGACACAGCTTTGGAGAGGGACACCCCAGGCTTTGTAACTGATAAAGTGGGGGGAAGGAGGAGGAGGATTTGGGATGTTCCAGGTGCAGCTGTGCAAAACCTGTTGAGGAACATTTAGGGGAAGGGGTGTGACGGAGAGGAGTGGATGGGCCACGTGTGAGCAGTTGCTGATGGTGTGCAAGCCCTTGTCTGACCCAGGCCTGCCCTGATCACCACAGTAGCTCCTGACTCCTCATTAAACCCTTTCTTTGCTCTCTCCCTGCTAGCTCAGTCTCTGTCCCGTGTGTACCAGTGCTGTGAGGATGAGGTGCCAGCACCCAAGGGCACCCTGCAAGGGGATGTGGAGCCAGCTCTGGAGCCAGAGGGATCAAGGACCCCAGTGTGGTGCCAGGCGCTGGGGTGGGTGAGGAACTCAGCTCAGTGCCTGGGTCGGGACCAGGTCTCTGTGTCCTGGCCACAGCTGCTGGGGCACCAGGACAAGGGAGTGATGGGGGGCTCAGCAGCTGGAGCAGGACTGGGGGTCACAGTCCATGTGTCAGTGCTGGGGGCAGAGTGCTCGTGTTTTCCCCAGCCCGTGTGTGTGCAGTTCCAATTCCATGGCAAGCTCCAAGCTGCACTAGCCAGGGAGTAGGAGGCCCTGGGGCTGGACAGGGGATCAGGTGGGCACAGGGTCCCTACTGATGTTTGGAGGGAGTCCTGTAAGTGTGGGGTTCCTGTGAGATGAGTGTCTCCGTGGCTGGTGAGCAGTGAGCTGGACTCATTGGTGAGTAGAGGGCCTGTGGGGTGGGTTAAAGGGGCTGGGATCTGGGCAGAGGAACCAGATGGAGAGGTGCTGTGGTGGCACTCAGGGTATCCATGACTCTGTGTGTGTCACGGATAGAAATAGCTAGATAAAAAAGCAAAGCAAAAAGCTTTTTCAGTACTTCCCACCAGCCAGCAGATGTCTGGCAAATAGCAGGAAAGATGGGCTGAGCACACGGATGGTTGCTTGGCAAGACAAATGCCATAGCCACAAAGGCCCTCCTCCTTCCTCCTCCTTTCCCTGATAGCGGTGGTGCTCCCTCTATTGTTTCTCTCCCTTTTTATCCCTGCCCTTTCTTTAATACATGCCCCCAGAGGCACCGCTAGGCTGGCTGATGGGCTCAGCCGTGTCCTGCGGTGGGTCTGTTGGCAGAGCAAGCAGCCTCTAGTCTCTTCCCACAGAGACCATCCCCTGCAGCCCCCCACAGCTCACAGCCTGCCACAGGCACCCAGCACAGTTACACACTGTACCAAGCGCATCCCCAGGGAGTGCAGAAGGGGCACATGCAGCTGCAGACACCAGCTTCCATCACTGCGGCAGCTGGGGTTGCACCATATGCACTGCCTGCCTTGCCCTGTGCATTGCAGCACTGCAGCTTCCTACTCTTAAGAGCTCTGTTTGGAAAGATGGTGTTATTTCTTTTCTATATGCATTCTGCCAGAGGGTTGCAGGAGAAGGTTTTGGGTTTTCTCTAGTCCTGTTGGTATTTCACAGTGATTTCTACTTTCTAAGGCTCTCTTTTTACCTCCCATCACTTACCTTTACTTGTCTGCTTAACACCTAACATTTAAACTGACACTCTTTCAACTTCTTTTCTTTTCTTTTTTAAATAAATTGGTGTCATCTGTAACCACATTATATGGGTCACATCTTTTAAAGCCATAGCACCGGCTGTTTGGTTTCTTGTTGTGGTGTCCCTTCCCCACTCAGGACTGCAGCCACGTTACTTCCTGAGCCGGTGGACCTGTGTGCAAGTGTGTTGGGCAAGGGACAGCAGGAGACATGGAGAAACAGGGAGAAATACCATTGTGATGCTTGGAATGAATAATAATCAAGACACCTCTGCCTGGTAGTGAAGTTTTCACCTGAATTGCTATAGACAGGAACAGAGACTTTCATGAATGTGAAAT